GCTCTCTCTGATCTCTCATCCTCTCATCTCTCTTTCCTCTCTCTCATCTCCCCCCACTGACACCTCCCCTGAGGAGTCCACTCCCAATAGCTAAATTGTGTGTATCTTCCTGCACTCCTTACCGGATCTCCTAGGAGATGATGTCTGTAAAAGGGTGCCTGTAGCGACCACAGAGGCACCGTGTAGTCAAGTAGTAATTCCAAAAGATGTCACCAGCACTCCAAAAGTAGATTCAATATATTTTAATGACAACGGTCATTCAAAATCACAAGTACTTTCGGGGCCACGTTGGGTCCCCGTCATCAGGCTCAGAAAATTTCTTTTGGACATCTTTTGGAATCACTCCCAATAGCTGTCACTGCCACCTCCCCTGAGGAGACCACTCCCAATAGCTGTCACTGACACCTCCCCTGAGGAGTCCACTCCCAATATCCTTACTGACACCTCCCCTGAGGAGTCCACTCCTAATAGCTGTCACTGACACTTCCCCTGAGGAGACCACTCCCAATAGCTGTCACTGACATCTCCCCTGAGGAGACCACTCCCAATAGTTGTCACTCTCTCATCTCTCTTTCCTCTCTTTCATCTCTCTCCCCCCCCTCATCTCTCACTGAGGAGACCACTCCCAATAGCTGTCACTGACTCCTCCCCTGAGGAGACCGCTCCCAATAGTTGTCACTGCTACCTCCCCTGAGGAGACCACTCCCAATAGTTGTCACTGCCACCTCCCCTGAGGAGACCACTCCCAATAGTTGTCATTGACACCTTCCCTGAGGAGACCACTCCCAATAGCTGTCACTGACTCCTCCCCTGAGGAGACCACTCCCAATAGTTGTCACTGCCACCTCCCCTGAGGAGACCACTCCCAATAGTTGTCATTGACACCTTCCCTGAGGAGACCACTCCCAATAGCTGTCACTGACTCCTCCCCTGAGGAGTCCACTCCCAATAGCTGTCACTGACACCTCCCCTGAGGAGTCCACTCCCAATAGCTGTCACTGACACCTCCTCTGAGGAGTCCACTCCCAATAGCTGTCACTGACACCTCCCGTGAGGAGTCCACTCCCTGTGATATTTAAATTAGTTGTAACATCACTGCCATGATTGAATACAGCATGAGATTCATAGCAGAAAGCAGATGGAGCATGAGCCTGCCAGTACATGAGCATTTACAGGGCCACTCTGCTCAATACCGTTACTGCATTGTTTGGTGTATGCTGGAGAGGTAAACCCCCTGACAGTTTCTTAAGCTATCCATGGGCCGGCGTTTGGTGTGTGAGTTGTGCGGTCACACAGGGCGCTAGTCGGATAACACCGGTCGCTATGACACAAGCTGCAGGCAGTGCCGGATTCCCCACAAGGCGGCAGGGAGTAGAGGGGTGGCACAGCCTGCAGCTTCACCTCGGATCCCCGCTGTTCTCCCCGCATGTAAGGACAGAGTCAACAGGGATCCAAGGAGAGCGCTGCAGCCGGCGGGGGAGGTATGGGGCAGAGGAGAGTGCGCTGACTGTGAGGAAGGCCATGCAGCTGTCATCCTGTCACTTTCAGGATGACAGCCGAGCGTGTTCAGAACAAACACTGGAGTGATCAGCTGATGCCTCCAATGTTTGTAAACAAACTAGGGATGCATAGTACTACTGTGTCCCCAGTTGTGAATGAACAGGAAATGCTTTACATCACTTCCTGTTCATTCATTAATTTCTGAATGGGTGGAAACAGCTTAGCTCAGTACAAAGGCTTCTATCCTCTATCATCTATCCGATTGGACGCTCAGATTGCAAAGTACAGATTGGGTAAGTTAAAGATTGTCCAATCTGATTTTCCAATCTGATCGTCCAATCTGATTGGGCCAATCAGATTGGACCAATTTGATTGGACCAATTAGATTGCCCAATCTGATTGAACCAATCAGATTGAACCAATCAGATTGGACCAATCAGATTGGACCACTTAGATTGGCCCAATTAGATTGGCCCAATCTGATTGTTCCAATCAAATTGGGCCAATTTGATTGGCACAATCTAATTGGTCCATAGACCAATCAAATTGGGTCAATCTTATTGGTACAACCAGATTGGTCCAATTGATTGACCCAACTAGATTGGCCCAATTAGATTGGTACAATCAGATTGGACCAATCAGATTGGACCATTTTTGATTGGTCCAATTGATTGGCCCAACTAGATTGGCCCAATTAGATTCGTACAATCAAATTGGCCCAATTAGATTGGTCCAATCGAATTGGTCCAATTTGGTTTGACCAATCTGATTGGTCCAATTAAATTCGTCCAATCTGATTGGACGGTCTGATTGGTCCAATTGTTAGCTTAATTATTATTTATTAGCTCCATAGACAAAAGCAGTGCCTAACTTTTCCAATAGCTAAAGTGAGAACACTGAAGATGGGTGGGAGCTGAGCCAGGACAGGGAGAGCTATCAGGATCAGGGCTTGACTAATGCTGGCCACGCACCATACAATCTCATTGTACAATTTCTGTACACTCTCCATTCGATTTAACAAAACTATGTAATATATGAGGACAATCCATCCAATCAGAATCCGATCACACAGTCACCCGGTCACACAGTCAGTCAGTCACACAGTCAGTCAAACAGTCACGCAGTTAGTCACACAATTAGTCACACAGTCAGACAGCCACACAGTCAGTCAGTCAGTCACACAGTCAGTCAAACAGTCAGTCACAC